CACTTCTTGGCAGCAGATGGAGCCGTGAACTCACACTTGTAACGTGGCAACAGCCTCAAGCTGTTGGATTGAGGACCACCTCTCCCCAACGTGCTCCTGTCCCGATCCCCCCAGATGCTGATCTTAACCTTGAACTCCACCTGCCAAGTGTTTCCTGCTCTTGCTGTTGATGTCAGTGAATTCCTTTAAATTAATAACATCTCTCTGTTGAGTGTTAAGCTTGAAGGAGAATTGCAATAGTTTTCCCCATTTTCCCAATTTCTCAACTGAGTTTTCTCAGGATTTGGGATTTAGAAAAGCATGTTATTGGGGGGAGGGTATATATAGCTCAGTGGTAGAGTGCATGCTTAGCACGCACAGGGTCCTGGGTTCAATCCCCAGTACCTCCATTCAAAGATAAATAGATAAAAGAACCTAATCCCCCCCCACCCCCCCAAAAGCATATGATTTCCTGAGAAATGCTGAGAGGTAATTCCCACATGAAAATACTAGTGGATGCCCAGAGTGGGCCACAGCAGGGTGGGACTGTCCCCTGCAAATGAGAGGGCCTCCCTCACAGGCCTCAGGGAGAGGCTCCAAGGAAGAAGTTTGCTCTGCCTGGAGGTGCAGGGTCTTGGCTTGGAGGTAGAAAGCTAGACTTGTCCTTGTATCTTCTCCCAAGAGCTGTGTGACTCCAGACAGGATAGTCACCCTTTCTGAACTTTTGTCCTTAAAACGGCAAATAATATCAATGGGACAGGTCTTGTGCAAATTGATTTCTATGCCGATCATTGTTTTGTGCAGTAAAGGCCTTATTACCCCCGTGGAACAGATGAGGAAACTGAGGGTCAGGAAGGCCAAAAAGGGCACAAAAGGTCACAAGCTGAAGAGGGCAGAACTTCCAGACTGAAGCTCTCTGGATGCACATGTGTCTGCTTCTGCCCCACCACTGTACTCCAGCATGTTGACTAAGTGGGTGGAACAGAGTAGGCTTTTAATATATATATTTGTTGAATGAATTCAGTTTGAATCTCTGTTTTATGACTATGAAGCCAGCTGTTTCTTCATTCTCTTTTGCTGTTCTCTGAAGTTAAAAACCCCTTCCTTAT